ATTTAAGATATACTTATTTTCTATAAGTGTGATTAGTAAAACATCTTGTGTGAATCCTTTCGTAAAAATTGTAATATAAATCCTTTCGTATAAATTATAATAAAAGAGATACCGTCACGTTTAAAAAAAATGTATTACATCTTATATTTATTAAAGCCTTGAAATACAATATCATATAAAATCTTCTAAGAAAGATATAGAAACGTTAAGAAAGACACGTTATGCACATATAATCTTATTTTCAATTAACTTAACAATTAACTTCGATTGCGTAGAATTAATTATTGTTCTTTTCTTGATCCCTCGTTAATTATCCTTTCACTTTAACAGCTATATAAATTAACGTTCAACGCGCGAGACATTTGCCCCTTTAATTATCTTTGCCTTAACAGATACATAGGTTGATATCCAATGCGCCAAACACATTTGTCGATTTCATTAAAAACTAAATCAAACTCTGTGTAATAATCCATCGTGTTTCTCTTACACTGACTCAATTTAAACTTATTCCTGTACGTCGCCTACACCGTCCGGGTTTATGGCGAATGTCGCTTCACTCTCTGGTAAACACGGCGAATCGTATATCTTACATATCCTAGTTTCTCCCCTGCCCTTACGCAAGTACAATCTCGTTGTACTCGCATGTGCCAAGATGTGACCGCCGATCGGTTTTTTCTGGTCGCCACCGAACATACTAGCGGCGCCGTCGACTTGCGCGACCACTTGATTCGTGATAACAACGGCGATCCCGTGTTCGTCCGCCAGTCGCAGCAGCATTCTGAGGAATCTCGCCAGATGATTCTGCCTAGCCGCTAATTCACCCCTGCCGGTGTAGTCGGTTCTATATAAACCGGTCGCGCTGTCGACTATCAGCAAGGCGTATCTTGCCTCCGTCATCATGGCACCGGCTAGAACCAACAACTTGGTCTGGTGATCGGTGTTAAACGCCCTCGCACAGGCGACGTTGTCGAGAATGGACTGTCCATTAATCTTGTACTTTTCGGCCACCGCAATCAATCTTTCCGGCCTAAAAGTATTCTCTGTATCTATGTAGAGGCATTTTCCCTCCGCACCACCCATGCTGATGGGTAACTGACAGTTCACGGCGAGGGTGTGACACAGCTGAGACTTCCCTGACCTAAACTCTCCAAAGATCTCCGTAATAGAGCCAGTTTCTATACCTCCGCCCAACAGCTTGTCCAACTCTTTGGAACCAGTGGTGATGTAGACAATATTCGACCGCGTCTGATGTATCTCCGTGGCGCTCTTGAAGCCCATCATGATCATTTTGGACGCCTCCTGCTGCAATTTCTCCGCCTTGACCTCACTGATGCCCTTGATCGCTACGAGATCCTTCTTGGTCGCGTAAGCCACCGACTCGACGGTGTAGTAACCGGCTTCCTGCAGCTTCTTGATGTCTCCCGCTGTGATGCCATTTTTCTGCGCACGATAACAGGTAACGATAAGAAATGCAGCGAACATGACGGAACGTGTTTAAACGTGCACGGACATGGGGACTCTGCTTATCATCCTGATGGCAGATTCGCACAACGTGACTTACCTCTAGTGCCTTGACCAGCTTCGCTGGAGTATACTCGTCTAGATCCTCCTCCGCGTTGACGCTCACCGTCGATGCGGTCGCTTCCATTTTAACAATGACGATATCGGGCGCCGGAAAACACGCCTGCTCGGCCTGCTTGAGGTTAACGACGTTTACTTTAAACTTGAATGTGCTTTTGCGCCAAAACGTCACGACACGTACTGCACTGCGCACTGCGCCCTGCGGGTACTGCCGTTGCGGCATGCGCGTTGAACTCGGAGTCGCATTGAATCATTAGGCCCGTATCACACTCATGGACATAGGCTGAGTTTCCACTGAGCGCGTCACGCGTCCGAGTTAACCAATCAAAACATCCCATTTTGATCCCGTCACAAATAAGTGCTGGTTTACGACCTTGTTTTAAAGGGTATTTAAGGCCTTCACACATAAAATATGTAGTAAGGACGTAAAACGTAAGCGTAAGAAAATCGATCAATCCCAATCGAGTATTTTCCCCTACTGAGGTTACGGACAGCACAATACTCGATTGGGATTGGTAGATTTTCTTACGCTTACGTTTTACGTTCTTTCGGGATTTTATGTGTGAAGGCCTTAGGCCCGGTCTACAATAGGTGTTGTAAGTCGTAAGTCGTAAGAATTGGCCAATCACAGTGCATTATTCTTCGACCGCAAGGAGAAAAATGAACTGTGATTGGTCAATTCTTACAACTTACGACTTATGGAGGATTCACATTGCGTCCGATGTTCGACGTACGACGATCCGACATCCACTAACAGAATTTATTATTAGAGACAAAAATTTCTTATTGGATGTCGGATCGTCGTACGTCGAACATCGGACGCAATGTGAATCCTCCATTACAACACTCATTGTAGACCGGGCCTTAATGTAGTAAAATTGGATGTTTTGTTTTGTTTTTATTGGCTATGTTTTGATTGTTGAGATTGGATTAAAATTTGACCAATCAGAATAAAGTTCACTAAACTTGCGATTAGTTTTCTTTATTCTGATTGATTAATAATTTAATCTTTAATTTATTTTTTGATAATTATACAGTTTAGGGGCCTCACCTCAAATATCGTGCTCAATCGACACGTTTTTGCACGAAACGAAAGAATCTGGCAGAAAAGTGTCGCTCTGCCCCGCGACGCGAGATATTAAACGTTAAATTTGACAGGAATCAGGTTATGATTCGGAAAAAAAGAACAATAAAATAACAATAAAAATAAAATAACAAATAATGCGTCTTTTACGTTTTGTTCTTTTTTTACATGACAAATACGTCCAACATGGCTACCTTAAGCTCGCTTTTTATGACATGCTTCAAGCTCAAGCCACTTCTGCCCACCCCCCGCTCTAAATTTGAAATCACACTAGTGCGAGCCGATCAAGTCGTTTTTCAGTTCATGGTGCCGATATGCAAATTGATGAGGCAGCGTGATCGTGCGCGCTCTTTGTGCACTCGATCGGCGTCGCCGTCAGCAGGGAATGGCGATGGAGGCTGCATTCCGCGAACGGCGCGATTCACGATCCCTCTCGTCTAGCGCATCCCGGAGCCCGAGCGCCGTCTTCTTCGACCTGGACAACACTCTCGTAGAGACCAGGAGAGCGGACAGTCAGGCTTGCCGCAAGGTACGAGAGGAACCGCGTCTTAACCTTAAGAACCGACCTATCTCTCCTTTCCCCGCAACCCTGTGGATCCGATCCGCGATACACCCTCTTTCCGAACCGTGGCCGAGAGAGATCGGTCGAACATGCCTGCGTATCGTTTCTCGCGATAATCGCACGGTCTCACTCTCCCGCGACGTTTGCCCACTCGCCTCGCAAAAATAGAAGTCGCTCTCCCTTCCCCCCTCCCTGCGTGTAATACGAGCCGACTCCCCAATATAGAGCGCTTTCTTTTGCGGCGTGGTGGCTATTTTCGGCGTTGCGTCTCGCGAGAGAATTTGTGCGCGCCACGAGAATTTTACTCGCGTTTTTAGTCGCGCTTTCTTCGCCGCCCCTTTCCCCGCTATGCCGAATCCCCGTCTCGCCGTCTGGGCACGAAAAAGTGCAGGAGAGTGCAGCTAAACGTGGACGGATGTTCGAGCGCTGGATTCTGGAACGCGGAGCGAAGTCCGAAGTTCGGAAGTCAGCTGCGACTTGCGAGCCGAATCTTCCGAGTCGAGATTATTCGAGGTCGAGGAAAATATATCGCGTTCTAACCAACAAATTTTCCCGACGAGAGACTCATCGCGTGACAATTTTGTTGTTGCTGCGCGTGGAGATGACGGGGTACATTCCGATCGATGATATTTTTTAACGCATTGTTCCGACGTTATTAACGGAGCTAGCTTTAAGGTTATTCACGCGCTTCGGGACGCGAAATTCCCGATACGACTCTTCAAAGAGATACTTTCGACGGCGGAGCAGCTGCGAGCGGCGGAACACGCGCACGTGTTCCGCGTGCGTGTGCATCGGCCGACGGCTATTTTCGGCCACCGGTGAGCGTGTCAAAGGGCAAGGCTAGGCGGCGAGAGGGCCGTTCGACCGTTCCGGGAGCTCTGCCAGTTGGCTCTCGACTATGCTACGCGACGGACAGCGCGACGCCTCCTAGAGTCGCACAGTTCCGGAAATTACTTTCCTCTGGCACGTCGACGACATCGAGACTGGAGCAGTAGCGTCAAACGTACATCGCCGGTTTTCGACTCCACGTTCTCTTCTTCTTCTTCTTTCTCTTCTTTCTCTTCTTCTTTACTTCTTTCGGAACAGTCGAGCACCATGAGTATCCCGGAGGGCGTCACCAAGTGCGTGGCCATCCTAAAGGCGGTGGACACGGACTCTGAAAAGTTCGCCGCGCTGTTCATGGTCACCAAGCTGGTGAACGCCAGGGATTGCACCTCTGCCGCGAAGAAGATGCTCTTCGAAGCCATCGGAGCCAAGTTCCTCAAGAAGTTGCTGTCCAGCTCTAACGTCCCTGTGGACTGCCCGCCGCAGGTATACAAGTCGGTGGCGTTGTCGGTTCTTTCCGCGTTCTGCAGCGAACCCGAATTGGCCTCTCATCCCGACATGGTGGTACATATCCCGGCGCTCTTGGAGATAGTGTCTCAGATGGACGAGGACGCGCCGGACGACATGCTGATCATCGTCAGCGAGGCTTTTACTTGCCTGCAGTGTATCGCGCAACATCCGCCTGGACAGAGAGCGTTGCTCGAGCAGAAAGCGATTCCAAAGATGTGCGACATTTACGCGGAAAAGACCTTTCAGACGGACGAGGCTTTGAACATTCTGGTCACGTTGGTCGGTACGTTTGGACCGGAAGCTTGGAGTTCGACGGACACCGCTCCTTTTCACGCTATAATCAACAAGATAGCCTTGGACTTCGAGACTGATCATACAGAGAGAAAATTCGAGCTATGCACCATTCTGCAGGCTCTACTGCAATCCTGCAGAAAGGAAGTGATATCCGGGAGCGCGAAGGAAGAATCCTGGCCGTTGAGCATTCACAAGGGCCTGAACGATATTCTGGGGTCGAAAATAGGCAAGAAGCAACGGGATCCAGCTTTGAAACTCGCGTCCGTGATGATAGATCTGTTGGGCGCGGATTGGGCCATGTCCGACAAGGAAAAGCCAAAGATCTTCTTCCTTCTGCTCATTCAGCTGGCGTCGATCGAGGTCAGGATGCAGTTGGAGGACAAGCAGCTTAAGGCCGTGGTCGAGAATGCCGATCTGATCACGGCTTGCTTCATCATTCTCGAGATCTCGATCGGCTACATCGTCACGGATCAGCTGGATTTGGAGCAGAAGGAGAAACAGTCTCTGTACACGGCGATGAAGGGCGCTTTCGCGGCCGTTATCGGCCTGCTCAGCTCCGTATCGAAGATGAAAACGTTGACGAATGTGAAGGAGAAGATGTTTGTGTGTGCTGTTGTCAGGGTGCTCACAGCTTGGATGGCGCAGGAAACGAGCGCGATGCGTCCTCAGCTTTACGCCGTGTTGCCGTACGTATTGACGGTGGCTAACGATACCTTTTACGCGCATCGAAACAGAAAACTGGCCGAGAAATGCAGAACTAAAGCGGACGAAGGAACATCGTCCGGAGAACCGATCGTTCGCGATCCGATGAGCGAGCTCGACATATTACGATTACTCTTGCCCGCTCTGTGCTACTTGGCTGTAGAAGAGGGCGCGAGAAAGATTCTTCTTCAGCATAAGCAGGACGAGGTCCTGTTCGAGTGTCTGTCTTATCACTGGACTATCGTGCACTACAAGAAGCCGCCAGTGCCGAGATCGGAACGTCTGAAGCTCTTGCAAGACGGCAACCGCACGGAGGAGCTGGATTTGCATATTCTGGAGGAGATGAAGGATTCCAGAACCGCGATGGTGTCCATCTGTAACGTCCTGATGAACATCACCGTGCTGGAGGCGAAACTGGTGGAGGAGTCGCCGACGTTCATCTCGCTGCTAAAGTTCATCTACAACAATCTGCCGGAGCTGAAGCAGATCCCGGAGAACCTGGTATTGCACGGTCATCTAGCGGTCCTGGGTCTATTGCTGATGAAGCAACAGGCAAAACGCATCAAGAAGAACGACTTCTCGATATGCCGTTACATTCAGGCCACCATAAGATTTCTGTGGGACGCGTACATCATCGACGAGGGCAACGATCCCACCGAGCTGGTGGTTGCCATGTCTTACAAGGAACACTGGATGGAGCTGATGGAGCTCTGGTTTCTGGGGATGCAGACGATGGCCGGTGTGCTGCAAGTGATACCCTGGCTGTCGCAATTCACGATAGAATCCGGCTGGGCGGAGGAGATCATCGAGACGCTGAAACGAGTGAAAATCGGCGGTCTGGAGCCGAACGTCAAGTCCGCCTTCGAGGATCTGCTGTGCCACTTGGTGAAGGCGGACGATAGCGTCGCGTCGGTGTTGAAAAAATGCGGCGCGTTAACCGTCTGTCGAAATCACCGTATGATGGAGCTTGGAAAGCGTCTCTTCGGGGACTAGGAGACTGAGCATTGAGAACATTTTTGCATTAGCTTTTGGATTTTTTGTATTGCACGAGCGATGTAAAGAAATTTATGCGGCAGTTGTAGAGATAGCGAAAAATTAATTAGCCGAGACGTACCAATTAATCGAACTATTGTATAAAAAGTAAAAATTTTGTAAAGTAGCTTCCTTATAGTATTTTGCGACTTGAATTTATCATTTTACGCGTCTCCTTCCAACGATGTTCGAAATGCATATGTGCGCGTAGTCCAGTGTATATTTAGACGGCATCACGTCTGGAAATAGTTTCCTGGCAAGCAAGAAAGCTAAGAAGCGTATCGTTCGAAGAAACTTTTCGTAAATCACGTATACAGAGGTGTATTACTTTTCTCACGCAAGACTTTAATATGTACATTACGTTTGTTTGTGAGATATTATCGAGTGTGCTTTTTTTTTACTTCGCTACATCGCGGAAGCGGAGATCGTTGTATTGATGTTAATAATCTTAAGATGCTTTAACGAGGAATTTTGTAATGACAGAAATACTTTCCTATTAAATGGAGGAATTTTGTAAGCGTTCGCTTGATTTTGTCACCATCATCCACTCTATCACTTTATGTGCCTAACGTTTTTAATGAAGTTATTTTTTAACAAAGATATTAAAGAAAGATTACTGGATAGAAGAGACGATCAATTTTGTATAATTAATTGCGAATTGTGTACACCAGGTACATACTTTTCCAAAGACAAGGCCATGCTTTAGCATCCAGAAATCTTTCAGCTACAACTTATAGGCTTTGGAAATAACATGTTGTTGTTGTTGGCACAACTCATTTTGTTGTTATTACAGCAACGTCCGTGGGTGCCACTTCGAGTGTCCACTAATCGGCTCGAGTATTTCAATGAATCAATGCATTTTCTAGGTAATCATTAATAATGAATTAAGTGTCCTAAAAAAATTCCTTAACTGACCGCTGTATCCTGAGACCTTCGTTGATTAATGAGCTCCACATTCAATATTTGTCTCTTCACCTACTTTATCTTGTCTGTCAAGAAATCGCTTTGCTAACAATTCTAATCTCTTTTTCTTTAACGAGAAGAAACGTTTTATACTCTGCGATATATGAACAAGATGGTCATCTACGAATTGTGCGCATTTTTTATTGAGTGTGGAAATTGCTTTCATCCTCATCTTTTCCTTCATTTTCAGTTCTTCACTCGTCATTCTTTATCACCAAACGTGATTGTAATGAAAAAGAGCTAACAACTCTCATTTTTATGCGTTTACCTACAGTTGACTGAGGAATTGACACGAGAGTACGGCATTCCGGAAGATGCGTCCGCCAAGATAACGGCTACGTATCTGAAGCAATTTAGAAAGTGTCCGGACAACGCGACCCTCACATTGGACGCTTGGCGTACTATCCTCTGGAGCAAAGCGCTAGGCCATAAGTACTCGCAGCTAGCAAAAAAAATTTACGAAAGATGGCTGTATTTAAGATATCACTACATGACGCTGGCGCCGAGCACGGTTTCCATGCTGCGTCAATTCAGAAAGAAGTATCTGCTGGGTTTAATCACCAACGGCCCATCAAACGCTCAGTGGGAGAAGATATACAAACTGTCGCTGGAGCAATACTTCGACGTTATCCTGGTATCCGGTGATCTGCCGTGCGAGAAACCAGACGCGGAGATATTCCAAAAGGCTTGCCATTTTCTTAACGTGCGACCCGAGGAGTGCATCATGGTCGGTGACAAGTTGGAGACCGATATTTTAGGTAGAGTTTCTTTTAACAATTTTTATAATTTCCAAAAATCTGCGCCTGGAAATATTTGCTTTAAAAGATATTAGATTACATGAAATGAATTGTAAAATTATCGTATGTAGGTGGGATCGAGGCTGGACTGTACGGGACGGTGTGGATACCTACTACGGATAAACCTCGTCTCTCGCAAGACGATCCTAAGCCAGATTTTATAATAAGACACGTAACGGAACTTCTCCGCATATTGGAGAGAGGTCCAAACGCGCCGGAACTCGAAGACTGCTCTTCAAATGGGTCCGATGGTAGCTAATGAGGAGATGCATGTTATATTATTTTTTTTTTCTAATGAAAAGCGACTCGATGCTTATATAAGCATTTGATGTCTTACTAAGCAAGATCTATTAGGTTTTTGTTGTGTTAGCGTTGTTTTTTTTCTATCATATACATTTTACGTACGATAGCACTCGAGTGTAGACGTAGATCGTTTTAATATATTGATTTACATTAGAAACATAATTTTGTTGTAAATTTGTATAACTTTCAGTCTACGGTTTTTGAGTTTTTGCGACATTTTTATGGAGATGCTACAGTCTATTAGAGTCTATCTGTATTGAGTAATTATATCGATATAACATCCTATATTTCGTATAATAATTAAATACGAAAAAAACAGCTTAAAACAAATATAATTATTTTGATAATGTTATATAACATTTTATAAAACTTGTTTTAAATGACGAAAGAACCACCGCACGTTATATTCGTAGTTTATTTAGCGACTTACCGAATTAATATCGCAAATAGATGCCAAGTGAGATATTTGTCAGTTACCCTTTCGAAGTTACCTTCTCGAAGTTAAAATAACTGTAGTGTACCGAGTAAGGGAGACGGAGCTCATGTACAAAACAAAATGCACAAACAGAGCCAGTAGCTGTAGATAAATGAACAAAATGAGACATAGCAACCGTATACAACTACTTTATCGTCCGTATAACTTTTAAAAAAAATCGCGTTGTAATATATGTATTTTTAAGATATCTGTATAATATATTACATAAATCTCCTGTTGTACAAACACGTAACATTTTGTGTATCTGTACATAGATATGCACGGGACGTTGTACATGTGCGGCTACAAATGTACATGGTATCTATTTTTTCATGTGTATATTTTATCTCTGTTGAGAATTCAGCTTGTTGGATGTTCTACTGAACCACAAACAGACATATTGTAAAACTCGATATAAGACAACAGATGTATATGAATAAAGAAAAGATATATATGAGATAAAATCAACGCTTATTTTGCTTCTCTACTACAATAATTAACATTGACATATCATTAGGTAATAAATGAATCATTTTTCTGCGTGAACTAAAAAATATTGCAATATGTTCAATGTTTATTTCGTTGCTAACACACATGGGTGACACAAATATGTATAAAGACAATATTACGACGAGCAATGTATTGAAAGCAAACGTTTCTTAACGAAAAACAAGAAATATATTCATTAACTTAGTTTATGATTCTGCTTTGTCATATTCGGATGTGATTTCAGATTCTGTTTTCTCTTTCGTTTCTCCTGTTTCGTCTTGCGTGGATACGAGATTCGATGTTGTAGAAATCGTTTCCTGTTTCTCAGAAGATTCAACTGAATTATTCGCGACTGAATTATCCGCGACAGAATTATCACGAGCGCTTCCGGCAGTTTCAATTTCGGCAGAAATCTCTTTGTCGTTTTCTTCTAGTTCTAAATTGTCCACTTTCAAGTCCGGAGAGTACAAAGTTTCCGTGTCTATTTGTGCCTAAATAAAGTGGAGATTGTTATTTTCGGCACAGCGAAGAATGTTGAATCATCTTACCGGGGCTTCGGTGAAGTCGACGTCTCTACTCCTGTCTCGCAGATTTTTACAAATATGTTGAACTTGTTTAGGATCTACACCTGCTTCCACCAACGACATCAGCACGTCTCTTTCGGTAACAAGTAACTCGGGGTTTGCATCGATCAGCAACACTGATTTCCCGTTGATTCTCGGAGATTTGTCAGCCTTCATCATTTTCTGATAAGACTCCAGTTTCTCCATCACTTTATTCTCGTCCAGAATCTTCGGCGGTGTAGGCGGCCTGATCTCAGATACGCTTAATAATTTTTGTGCGTGGATCAGATCTTCCAGTTCTTCATCCGTGTCCGAATCGTCCGCTATATTCAAGGAGATCTTTAACTGATAGACCTCGTATAGCATTTTATTCTGAAATAAAAGAAAAGCAAAAATCTTTCTCGTAAGAAACAAAATGTATTGCGAAAAATGTCGAGAGATACTAAGAATAATATTTGAGGAATTGTAAAATGTTAAAACATTGCTTTCTTTACGTTTATGATAATCTTATTATTTATACCATGTTCAATATTCCTCTATGTTGACTGACGTGCTTCTTACACACATCCCGCAGTTCTTTATCGGTATAAAGACCTCTCTGCATTATTTCTTTAGTGATGTCGTAAACGAATTTAACATATTTCTTCTCCTCCTCTTTTTGAGACGTGAGCTTGGAGATGAGCTCTTCGGTTGATTTCTCATCGTAATCGAAATCATAACATTGCGAGGCGCTCGAACACACCGAGCGATAATCGATCGTTTTCTGTCTTGGAGATTGAGATCTTGATTTAAATAACGTTGACTCTAATCTAGTAGCTCCGCAAGGGACTAAGAACTCTTTTTCATATCTACATTTTCTGTAGAAATAAAGAGAAGAAATTATAGAAAATCCGCCTTTTTAATTTACACTAGTAATTTTTGGAGGAGTAGAGACGTAAAATAATTAATAGCTCGAAATTTTAATGTTTAATGCAAGCTCACCTCTGTCGTGAAAAACATGTTGACGGACCGACTACATAAGGGATATCTCGCGTAGATCTTGGCTCTTTTTTGCAAATGAAATTTGATATTGAAATTTTTTTACGTTTCGGCGAACATGCCGAAGTTGGTGACATCATTCTTTGATTCTTCGATGTCGATCGTTGCCGTCGATCCATCTGATCGGTTCCTTCGTAAGACGTTTGACTACTACAAAGCCTCAGTTGATGATCTAAATTATAATTGCAACAGTCCAAATGCCTCGCATTTAAATCTGTTCTTAATATATCCTGCATAAAAATTTAAAATAGACTTAATTTAACATAGACTTAAAAACTATAGTTTATTAGAGTTTCAAAAAGAAAGATTCAAATTCTTAATCTCTAAAATCATGAATTAGCCAAGCAATTGTAGAAATCATTATTTATCCTTGTGTGTGTTGAATTTATTCCAATTTATAATCTCAAATATACTAGCTATACCGAGCTTTACCATGGGATGATGTTGAGTATCATAAGCCAATTTGTCGATCACATCATCCGTCGCTTCCAGATATAAACAGACTCCGATATCGTCAGCTCTTTGCTCTTTGCACCGCTGATTTCTTCTCAAGTAATTTTTATTTCTTGTATCAACTACGTTTCTTGCCAATAAAATCCGTCGTAAATGCGAGCTCATCGAATTATACGCCGCCAATTGCTCAAAATAGTTCTGTCCCGTTTGATTATAAGCTACGATTTTTATAAAATTTTTAATATTACAATTGCGAATCAGAATATTCTTATTGACGTATCAAACACTCACCGCTGCTTTTCAGATTAACCCCCCTTCTTCTCATGCATCTTGTCATTTCTGACGGAAAATTCGAATGTCCGATTCTCGATAACTATCCGTAGCGAAAAATAATTATTGGGCGAAAGCGAAAGTTCTTTTAAAGAATTTTGGGCAATGTAGAGTGATTTGGTGACATAAAAAATTTGCCATCCTCCCTTTAGACGGAAGCTATGCCATGTCTGCTACTTATTCACGAAGTTTTATTGACGGTCTGTCACTAAGCAACGGGCACGTGCTAAACTCCCGCCATTCTACTCTCGTTAAGAACATGGGACTACACACACATAGCTGTACATAGGTATGTACAAGTAATAGAATTCAATAAGATATAACATTGTATTTAAACGTAAAATGAGGAACAAATGATTACATTTGGCATGAAATGTTCAAATGTGCAGTGACTAATGCAATGAATGATACAAATTTTATAAAACAATATATGTCTTTAAATATTAAATATTGATAAATGCTAAAATTGTTATCAAAATATTAACTGCACTTTGGTAAATATTAGAACACTTAAATACATGTAAACGTGTTACTCTGCGACGATCCATATAAAAATATAGTTTCTTTTCGTATCTCGTTAGATCACCATTAAAACGTTAAAAATCTGTATATTCAGACTTAGGCAAAGTATTGTAACTGTTCGGAAAGTTTCTATTTTCAACAGACAGCAGTTGAACACGCCGGCGCCGTAGATAATCTTCAGTCCGATCTCGTTGGAGCTCTCGTGTGTACAGTATTACTAGTCTTGTAGAGATATACTTGTGCTAAAATGGCAATGTCAATCGTGACTTGAACAGCACCGCACACCTGAAACTGCACGGGAGTGTCCCTCAAAACAAAGTAGCACGTTTTGAAGATATCTCCCACGGTCCACATCGCCACCATGGCTATGCTAAAATCAAAGTAGATTATTTTAATTCTCCTGCATCGCTCGCGTAATTTTCTTTTCTTCCGTATCTAAATCTCACCTCATTCCTACGGTCGACTTGTTCGCCGAATTGCGGAGAAATTGAGGAACACCCAGCATAGCTTCTATCAATACCGCTAAGAATCCAACAATTTCAATAAATACCGGTACATCCAGAAATAAATATGTTATTACACCACCCACACCGGCGAACAGAATCATGAAGCCCAAATAGGACTTGAAGTCCGTCCACTTCCAAAAGAATCTAGCGTCCAAATCTGCGAAGTAGAAAAATTCTGCCATCTATAAATGCAGGTGTGTATCGATATTTGTATAATATCCGCAATAATAAGATTATATTCACCTGTAAGTACGCGCTCTTTGGATTTGATTATCTGCGTTCTGTTTTGTACATTAATACAAAGCTTAATCATAACGAACATTGCTAGAATCATCAGTATGCTTTGTAATAAAAGCGGAAGCTCGTAGTGTTTGCCAAACCTGCAACAAGAACGAAGCGCAATGTCAGTACTCAGACACTCATTCAATTTATTTTTCAATTTATTCTTGTCACGGAAATGTTGAATGTAGAAGGAAAAGAACAAATGAGACGATGTGTACAGTAGAGGAAGGAAAAAGTACAGTATTATAATAGAAATGGCTAGGGTATAGAAGCTTTGGAAGACATGAAGGAATTAATTTAAGGAAAGAGCTAATCAGTAAAGACTGGGAGGTACAAAGACAAATGGAGATAATTGAAGCTAGGTATAATAAAAAATTTAAAGAATTATATATGAGGTTAGATGGGCTGAGATATTTAAAAATCTAGATAAGTTGAGTAAGGGAGATAATGTAAGAGGATGATAAGGATGAAGTGTGATAACATGAAAGAGGGAAACAAATATTGATTAGAGAAGGATGAAACAGTATATGCGTTTTGCAGGCAAGGAAGGGATTGTATTAGTCATTATGTAAAGGAATGTTATAAGATTAACGATTATGGTTTATAGAGTCAGGTAGAAATAAGAGAGAAATTAGAAAGAATATGGAATGATAAACGAATAGTATAAATAAAACATGTAGAAGAAATTATGGAGAGAAAAATGTATTAGCCATTAATAAAGGAATGTTATAAGATTAACGATTAGTCGATACAGTTACTTAGATAGAAATAAGAAAGAAATATTAGAAAGAATATAGAGTGATGAACTGGATAGTGTAAAAATAAAACATGTTGCGAGATAAAGAAGGTATTAGAGTAAGAAAGAATAGACAATTGGTTACACGGATGAGTGTGTTAAGGAAAAATTGTGAACCAAGTCCATTTCTTGGCATGTAAGTGCTGGTCGACAACCTTGCTTTAAAGGATATTTAGGCTCTAAGCCGTAAGAAATTGAACAATCAAAATGGAATGTGAGTAGAATACTCGATTGTGATTGATTAATTTCTTACGGCTTAGAGATTAAATACCCTTTAAAGCAAGGTTGTAGACCAGCACTAAGCTGAAGTTAAGAAATTACACATAAATTTATTCTTGTCGCGTAACAACCAGCATATATTAAGACGTGCAAGATGTAAGTACAGAATGCTAGAGTGTTATCAGAAGCATTGTTGGAATATTATGTACACTAATATAACAAAATGTGTGATGCAAAATGTATTGGAAGGAAGTAAGGACACGTTTTTGACGTTTGACAAGTCATGCCTGTCGCAGATACGAACCAAAATAATATGCGGAGCGTGTTGGCGATCAGGAGGGTGAGGCAAACGTAGAGGGAGAATCCCTCGGCGTCCTCCTTCCTCTTGATCTCCTTGTACTGCGGCACGTAGGGCACGACCGCGCCGAAGATCATCGCGCCGGACGCGATCCAGCCGGCCAGGTTCTTCAGATTCAGCTCGTACGTGTCGTCCATCGTCGTGGGCGACCGCCTCTAGCATATCGCACGCGCGCGCCCCGTCGTCGATCTACTGCATCGGGAACAGGCGATAATTGTACGTGCGAACAATTAACGCGATCATCCGTACGTACGTGCGAATTACGATTTACGTTTCTTTTTTAGGTTATAAACCGGCCATTCATCGCCACCGCCGCCGTGTCGCGTCGCCGATATACGCCACATAAGCACATATCGCATGTTCGACCCGCCGACCGACCGACGTTGGCGGGCCGAATTTTATCGTGATATAACGTCGGGATAGATAAATGTCACTGCATCATCCTGAATTTCCGTCCGGCGACGTTTACGCTCGATCGGGAATAAAGAGGTATTTTTATTTGTTTCTATTTTCGGTGCATTTCCCGACCGAGACGCGAGACATTTCGCGAGCGGCCGGTAGCGGTCACCACAGTAGCTCGAAATCCGTAAAAAAATTGTCAAATTATCAAAATTTCGTGGTAAATTACAAGATTACATATGGATTGTTTACGTATTATTATTCACGTCATATTTACACGAACTTTTTTTATGCAGACAATGTAAACAATATAAATTATAATAAACTGAATGAAATTACCGATTGATTAGTATATAATTGATTTCTTTGAACTGTATTTTTGCAACCATCAATTCCGACAAATCGATAAATTGTTATAAAAAATTGCAGGTTGTAAAAAATTACAATCAAAAACGTACAATCGGTAATGACGGTAATAGAGTTTTCAATTATCTTTGGAGCCATCACGATTTTCTCGAGATGATAAAAACGCAAATTATTTTATCGCTGAATACCCTCGAGCTATATATAAATATAGAATGTCTATTTTTACAGAAACACAAAAACAAACCAATCGGTCGAGATGATTGATGATTGACGAGACCGCGATGTGAAAAGCGAGATACGCAAAAGGTACGATCGCGGCTTAAATTACAGTAGTCAACAATAAACAGGATACATATGGGTGTATAATGATAATAATTCGTGGTTGCGAATTGCTCGGTAAGCTGATAACGACGTATGTATACGTATGTATATACGTGTTTTCCCGTTTTATCGCTTAATTGGCTCGGCGTCGAGCGAACGTAATGAACGTCGCACGACCGACCAATCTCAATTCATCAACAGGTCGACCCGAGGGATCCGGAGCGTTGGTCGCGGTTAAACGGATTAATTCATTTGTGCCACCCGCCGCGACGGAACGAGGCCCGCCAGCAATCGAGGATGCTCATTAAATTAACCCGGGAACTGGGGAAACGCGCCGTTGCATCGCGTTAATTGCAGCCGCGAGGCGACAACGCGCTATACTCTCTTTCGCAGATAGAATTGTGACAATATTGTTCCCAAACGGTATTGCTCGAACACAAATTAACACTGGAGCAATTGACGTTGAAGGTAAACAGTTACGCTTTCGAGTGAATATAAATAAATATTTGTGTCAATTATATGCGATGGACGATTATGACGGATGCAGATGCAGTGGTTGGCGTTGATAATATGCCTCTACGCCGGAGTAGCCAGTGCACGTACGGAGGAGGACCAGCAGACATCGAACGCAGGCGGTGTTTCGAACTCTCTTCCGGAACAGTGTTTTTACAGACACCCGGTAGACTGTCCCTCGGACTCGAGCAGATGTCCCTGCAAGAGGATCACGCTGGCGAATGTGCCGGAGGGCAATGCCGCGCTGTGCTGCAATACAGATCAACAGACTTTGGAGGATGGTCTCTCTTGCATAGGTGAGAGAGTAGTGACGCAAGAACTTTTTTTTTTATAATCTATTGGACAGAGTATATTTATTACGCTCAAGTTTATTTTTGCTACTATCTCAGGATTTCAACATTCAAATATAAGTTACGTGCACATACGTAACGCAACTTTGGATGTATTTAACGTAAGTGAAGTTCGTTGGAGGATGCTGAAATCTCTGGCCATAACAGATGGCAAGATTAATCGACTGCGGGGTCAGTTTCGCATGATGACGCCCATACAGTGTCTGAATCTCTCGAATAATGAGCTGCGCGAGGTAGAGAATAATTCGCTGACACGTTTGGTGCAGCTCACCACGTTGGATCTGTCTTATAATAAACTCACTTACCTTCCAGCTTTGAATACGATGAACGGCCGAGAATTCTGGTTAGACATCTCAGGTAAAAAAAAAAACCAAGCTGCCGTTCGATTCTGTTATCTTAATTAAACATCAATGAACATATTGCTTATTAACTTTTTTTTTGCAGGAACAAATATACTTTCGTGCCACGATGTGTATCAGTATATCAATAAAACGGGCGAAAAGCAAATCACATTTAATCGCGAGAACGAGACAGTGTGCTCCTCCTTGGCAACGTGGCACTGGTTCAACACGACTGAACAAGTGCCTCTTTCGCAGGTTCTTTACCTCAGCTTGGTACGTTTTAACCTTTTATATCCTGTAAAACTTTATATATAAGATATAATCAGAATTAATCTTGACTTTTAGTTGCAAACGGAATGTCCAAAAGGTGACACCTGGCAATGCCAATGTGATATCAAGAGACTAGACATTATCGAGGGCAAGCCGCCTACACACGCTGTAAATGTAGATTGTAGCGCAATGCAGTTGACGGAATTACCCGAGAAATTGCCGCAAAACACTATAGCCCTTAATGTTTCCTATAATAATGTACGTGCGAGATGTTAGTAAGGTTCTATATCTGTTACATATGAACTGTGCTTTTTTTATAATGCAGTGCTTCCCCTGAATTTTTCTTTTAGATCACAGTTCTAGATGATCTTAGTACTAACCCGTGTTACGAAGGTCTACGAGAGTTCTATGCGGATTATAATAATATCTGCTCGATAAACAAGTTGGAAGGTTCTAAGTTTCTGGATAATTATGCGATCCTTAGTTTACGATACAACAAAATTAAATCAGTAAGTAAAGAAATATAGTTAATTCATTGACGATGTATTCACACATCCTAAATATAATAATGTGTTTAGCTGCCAACATATATATTAAGTCCAAGCGCACACAATAAGAATTTCATGAGTTCGAGAAACCTGGTCAGACTAGGAGGCAACAAGTTGCATTGCGATTGTAATACTGCTAAGCATCTAAAGGTACAGTATGACGTTTATAAAAAATAGATGAGTATGAAATACTGATAAAGCAGCGTTCTCCGCTTTCTTTTCACTCTAGGCATGGTTACAAACGCGAATACTGGACTCTGACGAAGTAATGTGCGAAAATGTAAAGGAGAAAGTTATAGATCTGGAGCCATCGAAGATGTGCGTGTATCCGGGAGACTGGACTGACTATATATACTATATTATTGCTACCGAGGTGATACTTCTGATAGGTCTGATAGCCAAAGTGTCTTATGATTATTGGGTGTTCAAAACGGCAGGATATCTTCCGTGGCCGGCGAATAAAATGCCAAAATTGCCTTGTGATTGGCTGTTCGAAACGTAGATCGCGTGAACACGCGCGTAATGAGAATTCCTAACAATGTGCAATGAAACAAGAATTCCTAACGGTGCGCAATAAAAATATGATACTGTTAGGATATACTAAACGTGCCTTTGTAATGTGCCTGTATATTCTATCAACTATCCCAACGACGAATATAATGGACGATAATATTTTTATCTAGCTCTTCCATTTAAGAACAGGACTTTAAAATAATCTCCGTATTATATGTCCATGACAAGTGTTTAGAATATATGATTGTCAAAGAATGTATCATATGTAATTTTATAAATAGTTACAGATTTATACATAATTTTATATGTAAGTATTACAAATAAATTGTTTACAAATCAGTTCTACGTTAATTTTAAAATCTTTTATACGCAAATATCTTTATAATACAAAATCTTTTTTTATAAAAACAGCCTGTTACACTTATTTCACATTGTGAAAACATGAGTATCGTACTTACACTATTACACTTCCAACTCCGGCTTCTTCCCAACGCTTGACTTTCGCTTATGTCGTTTATATGTAGGCACGGTTAATATCTTTTCGCGCGTGGGTGCCGTACGCTCGAGCTTGCGTCGTTCCTTCTTACTGTGCTTCTTCATAGCTAGCATGTAATCCGGTACGTCGCATCCGGATGCTCGCATAACCGCCGCAATACTAAGAACAAAAAATACATTTTATATTATTTATTGCAACATGCATATATACATGCAGGCGCAGAGACAATACCTTCGTAAATTCACTGTGTCCTGTTGAGTGAAAAACGTTATTGCCTGTCCCTTGTGTCCGGCACGACCGGTACGACCTATTTCAGAAAATGTTTAAGTAAGAAAACTGACTGCTATAACAGATCAGCGCAGTCCTGTTGCTCGGAATATTTCTCTTGATATGATAAAAATGCTGTGATGGGTATAGCGAGATAATATTTTATTTAACAGATGGTAATGTCTATTCTTTATCAAGAGACACGGTGTCTCGGGCCAAGTACACGCGCAGCACGAGACCGCCGTGACTCTTTTATATTCTACACGAAAGGTGACGTGAACATGACCCCTCTTTATTGTTAGCAACAGTACACACAATACCGAAAGAAGAGGAGCTGAGCATACTATTAACAGAAAGGAAAAGTGAAAAAGGGCCAAAAGCGCGCAATGCTCCATGTTATCAAAGAAACAGAACAGGGCACGTATTGTAGAATTTTTCGGAATGGATTCCGATCGGAATTGTTACTTCCTAGATTTCTATTGTGTTTTCTAAGGAAAACGGAATAATTTCGATCGGAATCCATTACGAAAAAGTTCCATAATACATGCCTTGTTCTATTTTAAGAATTTACTGATAAGATCAATACAAACCTATTCTGTGGATGTATGAGATGGCAGACGGAGGGAAATCATAATTTATAACGAGATTTACGCCTTTGAAGTCTATACCTCTGCCCATCAATTCTGTACAGATCAAAACCCAGATCTTTCCCTCTCTAAAGCAACGCACGGTGTTGTCTCGCTAAAAAAATACAATGATTAATGTACAATTAGACGGGTTGCACGAGAGAATCTCTTTTTTCCCCATACCTGTGTCATTGTTCTATCAGCGTGAATGACGTCCACATTAATCCCGTCGTAAATAAGCTCGTTGAAAAGTTCTTGAGCCCTCTCTTTGCTTTGCACAAATACCAAGACCGGTGGTGATATACCCTTTATCGATAATCAGAAAAACGTATACAGCACAGTATTTAAAAAGAGTAATAAAATATTGCAACTAAATTAAAAATTATCCTACCTTTTGAATAATGTTTCTAAATTCCACCAATTTACCTCTTTCGCTACCAACAAAGAGGATCTTTTGATCTACCAAATCTGCAGCTGCATTTCTGTAATAAAATGGAGACACAATTATTAATAGTTTCCATATTTTTCGTAAAATTCATCGAGACACATATATACACATACCTCTGACCAACTGTTACTGTTATAAGACCCTTCATGTTACGACGACACCACTTCGACACCGCTGGTGTGTTTGTCGCACTGAACATACCGCGACGTAAATTTGCATTAACGCAAGCTCTCGTAATCTCATCTAATTGCTCCCTAAAGCCGCGTATTCCTTCCTCGAAAAGTTTATCTGCTTCGTCTACAATCAACCATTCAACGCTGTAAAAACAGAATAAAAATATTATTCCGCCTAAATCTGATTATAATCAATAAAGTATGATTGTGAAAAACTTACTTGTTCAATGAAATGGCTGGAGGATCTTGATTTAGAAGGAAGACCAATCGCTTTGGTGTAGTGATTAAAATATCTGGAACACAAGTGAGAGTTTTAGAAACATCACTTCTATTAAAATCTTCGTACTATAGCTGTTACACTCACCAAACTTTTGCGAGCTTGTGGGCCCATATTTGGTAAGAGCTTGATTCACTTTACTAATTATATGAATTCTAAAGTCACAGCCGTCACTCAGTCTCAGGCATTCCCTATACGTCTGTTTGGCCAATTCCCTCGTAGGGCTTAGAATAACAGCGCGAAAACCTTTCTTTTGTGGTCCCCGTAAGCTGTGAATGATTGGTAACAGAAATGCCGCGGTTTTCCCTGATCCCGTCGGAGCACAAGCCAGAATCTGTCTGCCCTGTCATCAGTAAGGAAAAAAAACAATAAAATATTTGCTGGAGATATTTTAATTACAGCTTATTTTAATTAATCTAACTATACAAATTTACTTACTTCTAACATGATCGGCATTGCTTGCATCTGTATTGGCGTCGGATACATATATCCACTGTTTTTCATGTTGTTCAACAAATTTTCTGGCACTTGATAGTTTGTTTTTAATTCATTAAATTCCAATATTAACTTAGGTACATGACTGCCTGTGACTGAAATACGATTCACGTTCCTCAGATGATTTATCTAAAAAATAAAAGATCTTTTAGGTATATTATAAAAAGAGGACTCTCTTTTCATTCACACTTGCTTCATTGCGTAAATCTCCAACCTTCTCTTGTTCCAGCTTTAACATCTTGTCGGCAGTTGCGATTTTTTTACGTTTCCTAGCTGGAACACTTTCGTTTTTCGGTACTGACAGCCCGCTCAGCAACGTTATTTCGTCAACATCTTCGTCTTCATCTTTATATTTTCTTTTTGCATTGCCCACTGTATCAGGCTCTAATACTTCCTCCTTTATTTTCTCCACCGTACTGTTTATGTCATGTTTACTTGGTCTCACGAGCTATATAAAGAAATAGCAACGTGATAAATAACCAGTACCTTAGAAACCATCCTCCAAGAGAACGAGCAATTAGTTACCTGAAATCTTTCTGCATCTGGTCGAAAGCGTCTCGTATCAAATTTGACACCGGCTGCGAGTTTCTTGAAAAGATCGTGAGCATCCATTGCGCTAATATGTAGAAGTAATTTGTAGAATCAAGTTGCATGGACTCCACGTGCAAATCTCCTACAAGGTATTCAAACGAACAGCGGTGGAGATTTGAGGTTAGAAAAAAGTAAATAGCATCTACACAAGCTAATAAGAAGCTAATAACGATAAAGCGATCGATAAGGTAGAAAGACGAGTCGATAATAAAAAAAGAAGCATGGCGGAAAAGTTTATATTTGAAGATTCTTTTTATTCTATTTTGAGTGACAAAGAGCATGAGCATGTTATTAATTCTATAATTTTTGAGATTATTTTTCTCGAGACTGAAACCTCGTGCAAGACATATCTGACTTATTATTATTTATTTTTTTGTAAAAAGTGTATCTCTTTTCAATTGTATGTTACATGCTTTTACTTAAAGATGATAATATAGAGGACCAGTCTCAGCGAAGGTCCCATGGTGTAATGGTTAGCACTCTGGACTTTGAATCCAGCGATCCGAGTTCAAATCTCGGTGGGACCTGACTGAAATTTTTTTTTTAATTTTCGAAAATTAATACATTTTTTTTACTTTTCGCCTGTAAATAAAATAAACTTGCGTTGAAATCTGCAACTCGTATATCGTAGTAAGTTCTGTTAAAACGAGATATATTTTACAATTCCACATGCTCATCTCTGTTCATAACCTAATCTGTTCATAACCTAACTTGTAGATCCTTTTATTTGCATCATTTGTATGATCCGATAGTTGCTGCTAAAGAAAACAATAACGCTTATGGAGACCACGTGCTAAAACATTTTTGAGAATTCAATTGGCCGCGAGTTCGAGGAGATGGCCGAGCCGGGCGATTCCGTGGTGGTTATCAAGGCGAAGCCCGTTCGCAAGGTTTTCAAGGCTCCCACGAGGGCCAGCAAGATTCCCGAGGAACTCCTGAACGATTCTCAGCTGAATTCTGCCATAGCGGCTTTACCTGCGAATTATAATTTCGAGATACACAAGTCGATATGGAGGCTCAGAGAGGCCAAGGCGAAGCGGGTGGTTCTCCAAATGCCGGAAGGCCTCCTGATGTACGCCACAACCATAGCTGATATCATTGAGGACTTTACCGAAGCAGAGACTGTTATCATGGCCGATGTCACCTACGGTAAAAACTAGACAAGCGATCCAATATTTTCAGTAGTTTATATCGTTGTTTGTTGCAGGAGCTTGCTGCGTGGATGATTATACGACGCGAGCGTTGGATGCAGACTTCCTGATCCACTATGGACACTCGTGTCTTATACCCATGGACCAGGTCGCCGGTATCAAAGTGCTTTACGTGTTTGTTAACATTAGAATTGACATTTTACATTGCGTGGATTGCCTGAAGGTCACCCTACCAATTACCACAAAGGTAGCGCTAGTCAGTACAATACAGTTCGCCACAACGGTACAGGTGGTAGCGACGGAACTTAGAAGACAGGGTTACGAAGTCTCGGTGCCGCAGAGCAAGCCACTTAGCCCTGGAGAAGTACGATACGTTCTTTAATATGCTTTTAAATCATTAAGACGACGTGATAGGCAATGTGCGAAATGTTTTTTAAAGATTTTAGGATGCACAGCGCCACAAGTTCGATGCGCGGATGCTGTGATCTATATAGGGGACGGCCGCTTCCATTTAGAGGCTGCCATGATCGCTAATCCTAAGCTGAGGGCATTCAAGTACGACCCGTACGCTAAGAAACTGACTGAAGAATTTTATGACCACGAAAGAATGTTGACGACCAGGCACGAGGCGATACAACGTGCTATAAAAACCAACAAATATGCTTTGGTGCTTAGTACTCTGGGCAGGCAGGGCAGTCTTAATGTGCTGAAAACTCTACAAAATAGAATTGAGGCTTTAGGAAAGGAAAATGTCGTGATATTGATGTCGGAGATATTCCCGGATAAAATCAAGCTGTTCAAAGACGTTGACGCTTTCATACAAGTATGATCTTTGTGAGAAAAGTGCATCAAATTGTTAAAAAAAAAATGTTTCCTCTTCTCTGCATTAGTATCATTATATTTAATTTAGAAGAAACTATAGGAAAAATATTTAGATTTAAAAATGTATATATGTATATTTGAAAGAGATGTATAATTTCAAAAAGAGCTGAAAGAAGAAGAGAAAATATTTGCTCGAGTCAATATAACGTGATAGGTAGCTGAAAAGATTTATGTGGTATGTTGAATTATGTCAATACGTTTTATTCAAGATTGCGTGTCCACGATTGAGCATCGACTGGGGTGTCGCGTTCGAAAAACCATTTCTCACGCCCTATGAAGGTGCCGTCGCTCTTAAGATGGCAGAATTCGACAAGGACCGGCCGTATCCCATGGATTTTTACGCTACAATCAGCCTCGGACCATGGACCGCTAATCACAAGGAATCTGAATTAGAAAAAACCGATACCTGCTGCGGTAAATGTAAAATGGACAAATAAAGGGAATCGAATATGTAATTTAAATTTGTTATGAAATTATCTGTTAAATTATGTTAGACGAAAATCCCGTTAGATGAAAATCCTTCCCCGTTCTACCACGATCGTGCAAGTTTTTAACAAGTTTTTCATTAAACACAATGTAAATTCGAGCAGGTGCATTTGAGAGCTGTCTATATTAAACCCCCGTCATCCCTAAGTTGTTGCTAGCGGAGCGATAATGGGCAGATAGGAGGGTCCGCGTGGGCGAATTACGTCATACGCCCACCTGTAGCCCGCTCACACATAGACACGCGAATACTGTATATACAGGGTGTACAAAATCTAACACTCGCTACTCGATTTTTTTCACTCCCCTCTTGCTGTCGAAAAAAGAATATTAAAACTTAAACTATACATATTTGATTGAAACATCATTATTTTTCAACTTGTTTACAGAACATACTGACGAGATCGTGCGAGAAGTTGCGTGGAAAAAAAATGAATGCGAATCACCGAGTTAGAATTAATTTATATAAATCAAAGTGTTCTCAATTGGAAAGTATTGTTTTGAATATCGAAATGAAATATTTGTTATTCTAACATTGTCAAGGAATATATTGTAGGAGGATGAAAATTATCGATGAATATATGATAAAAACGACCGATGCGGGTGAAGGAAAGTGAAAGAAAGGAGCACAGAGTACATGACAAAATACCGGGGGTGAAAGGCGGCGCCGGCCGCACCCCGGTGTCGCGACGTCAGTCGTCGTTTCAGCGTGGCTCAACAAGTACACGCGGCGCCTAGCTCAGCACGGTTTCAAATTTTCGGAGATCTCGACGTGACTTTTGTCCGTACAGCTATTCGATATTAAAATGCGTTAAATCGACGGATGCAGCACCAATTGTGAGAGTAAGATCCACAAATCGTCTCTTACAATTCGATTAATCAACGATCCGATCATCGACATTGATAAAAAGTAAGTCATAGAAAAATGTCAAGCATTAATTTTATATCTTCAATCTTCTTTGTATATTCTTACTTCTGCTCTCTTTGTTTATAACTTAAATTGAAAACAGTAAACAAGGAAAATAGATGTGGGAAGACATGTTAAAGATTCTGGTTTTAAAATCGTGATCAGTGAAATTTAAATATCGAAAGTGAGATTTATTATTAATTATATTTTTTTTTCTTTCTTCATTAAAAGAAAGGAATATACTATGCGGTCTAAGGTGACAAACGAGAATACTTGGGAGACAAAATGGGCTACGGAATCGTCGCAGAGCGGTAGGAGCTTACGACGAAAGACAAAAAGAACGGAATCCTCGGTATTAAAATTGTCAAAACCCTCCAGGGGAAATACGGCACGGGAGAGAACTCTCAGGAGGCTGGAAAGCAATGAACGCGAGCGTATGCGGATGCACAGTTTGAACGATGCGTTTCAGGTACATAAAACAATATTATCGTGTTATATCTCAAATATAAAAACTGATAAGACGATAAGGAAGGACTATTTGTGTGAAGAAATGACTGTAACAACAAATATTTGTCTCTGATCTTTCTCGAAAAGATCCTCTTCTATTCATATACATATACAGTTAATATATAATGTTTTAAGGTATTTACACACGTATATCTTTTGTAAGATAATTAGTGAATATTTTTCTTCTTTCTCTAGTCCTTACGCGAAGTGATTCCTCACGTCACCAAAGAGAGACGGCTCTCGAAAATTGAGACGTTAACGCTGGCCAAAAATTATATAGTGGCCCTTACAGATGTAATATGCGCCATGAGAAGCGAGGAACGATCGGAAGATCAGCAAACGAACGGCTCCGAATGCCAAGATTCGTCAAGCAGCGAACAGCGATTGGAATCAACCACTGTTCGCGTGAACATTCCCGTTGCTTCCAGATCCCGCGGTTCGGAAACTCAAAATTTTTATCAAAATAATCGTTCGCGGTGGGAAAAAGACCAGGATAATGTTACAGGCCTCTGAAAAGTTACGGCGCTAAACGATATCGGGATAAAGGACGAATTGAGATCTCTAACGGTATTTCGACTAGTCTTCCTTTCCTTAATCGTGCATGCGTTTATGTCTTAAAAAGTTCCAATATTCAACGTATCTGTGCAAGTATTATCAAAATTAACGATATATCTTATGACTGATATAATAATCTAAGAAAAAACTAACTATATGTGCCAAAGGAAGATAGTATTTGCAGAAACGAATAAAAGAATATATATAGATATTAATAGTAATGTTACAATAGTTTATTTCATATAGAGCATTATATTATTTTTCGATAATAACGTAAGAAATGATTATTAGAGAATAGATTACATATGTGCGAAAAACTTAAAATAATTGCATTTTCAGATGCTTTTGCAAATAGCGAATGAGTTACAAAGTTTATAGAAACTCATTGTTTGTTATAAATTACTTTACAATTTTTATATTCTTTTACATTTTTATTCTTTATTATAAGTTTAGGTGATATATGTGTCATTAAGGTATATACAATAACAAACGGGCTACGTACGTGTAATAAATAATTATATATTTATTATATAAAGTATATGTTATATATTCAGATAAATAAATTTAATTATATATTTGAAAAACTTGATCAATATGTTTTCTACTAATCTTCTTGCATTCCTCACGTGGAGATCATACAACATTTTCATTGCAATGAACAATTATTTTACGATTAACACGTAATACAAATTATGATAGCCCATCGCCGAATGAGACGGACTGTGTCGTCAAGTCCTGTAAATTGACTAGCACCGCTGTTTTGGTTTCCGAGAACTTTGGAACGCATATCAATCTCACTGTATGTCTCTCGTCAGCTACACATTGGCATACATGAGTCATTTCACGTTAAACGAAAGTTGATAATCAAAACAGATTTTCTAAAATCCTACCTGTAACTAATTTTGTATCGTATTTATCCATATTTCCGGCGAAATATATGTCCGGCCATTCGTTCATAACGAATGGATCATTTTTGAAGAACGGATAAATTGGAATCGTGTCGGGACCGGTTGGAGCGTAATGCCTCCAGATCAAGGTACGCTCCAACCATTCCAACGCGGACAGCTGGGATAATCCAGCGATTTTCATGATATCCATGATCGGTCCGCCGCAAGAACCGGCTACGACACGACCCCCAATATTTGCGACCCAAGGATTAGTCGCACCGTGCATGCTTTTAAACCTGTATTACATCTAAATTGTATTATGTAAAGAAAGCTCGGCGGACGCAAGACTTAAACATGTCGCTGTTACCTGGCCGATTTATGTAAAGTACATGGGTGGAAGGGCTGCTGAGGCATGGTGTAGTTGCAAGCGGGATCGAACTCTCCCGGCATTAACACGACGCAACAGCAGTGGAGGATATTGCTGAGGAAAGCGTCGAGTTTATGCATCGCCATTACGTCTTCCTTGATCTTACGCTGGTCGTGCGATTTGATCTCGTGATAGCCTTTGTGATTGTATATTTTCGTGGAACCACGAATGGTGTTTCCTATGTAATTATTATTTATGCACGAATTACTATCGCCAGTCAGAAAATATGAACATTTTTGACATTCGTACCAGCGATAATGACTCTAGCAATTACTGCTTCTTCTTTTTGAGCATCGGCACATCCCGCCATTCCGGTTATCCATTCCGAAAGTAAATCTAAGCTAAGCTCATCCGTGTTATTAACCAGATCCAATCCAGATACTAGCAGAATTTTCCCGTCTTCCATCAATGAGCCGCTCGAACTGGAAGGCTTCGGATAGTATCCTGGAAAACACCAATCCTCTACCTAAGAGCAAAGTTTTTATATCAGCAAGCTAGATTCCCGGCTGTAGACTAATTATGCAAGTATATACCCAGAATGTTCCATTTTCCAATTCACGTCCGAGTACTGCGCAGACAAGTCCAGTGACTACTTCCTGTATATCCATGTGACTTCCTACCAATCTTACACGTAACGTTTCGTCCTCTAGAAATAATTTGTCGTCGACCGACGCATAATTGTTATTGCTTGGCTGAGCATCCAGCTGCAGTTCCTTGCTGAGGTCGCGCACAAAAGAAGGTTTCAGTCTCTGCTCCTTATAAAGTACTCCTACCAAAATGTAAGACTTTCCTGGGCTTTCCAAGGTTAGGCGTGAAACCTCTACATATGAATAATCGACTGTAACATACAAAAAAATAGAATAACATAGATGATGTAGTGTGGAAAGATTTTGGGTTCCGGGTACACAAACGTGGCTTACTCCATTTTAGTTTCGCTGCACGTAACGTGTCTTCCCGCAGATCGTTCAACCTTGCTGTATATATGTTGAGAGAATCATCGTCGTATTTTCTCTCTGTTAGCTTAAATCTGCCGAGGTCTCTGAAGAAGACAATTTTCCGGTCGTATTCGTGCGTTTCGTCGACCTCCATCCCTTCCAGTGAGAACATCAACTCCTTTCTGAAATTTTCCAAAGTCACGCTCGTGAAATAAAATCACATCAACGTGTTGTTATCACTGTTATCAGAGATATATAAAAAAAAAATAACGAAGAAGCGTACTATTGCCTTTCATTGTTTTCCGCATGTGAAGAGGACCTCGCGTTTTGAAAGAAACATATGATTAGTGATTACGCTGTCATTGCACTGAGGTGTAGAAAGTGTAAATAGAAAATTTTTATGCCTTTTGCGCCCTCCTCTCTTCCTCCACGATCGCGTACACATTTATCTCGTTTTAAGTGCAGAAAGTGCAGTCATTGTCACATGTCACCCCATCCCATATAAGGCCAGTGATTGGTCGGTTATGTTCGTGAGAGGGATAAGAACAGTGCCGGATTTTTTTATTTTGCAAAGGCGAGTAAAAAATTTGCGAACGTGGCATGATTAGGCCTGTTTGTTTTAGCTAAACTTCTTGCACAGTTCATCTTTTCTCCTTTTCTTTCCAATGTAAAAAGAAAAAGAGAAACCTTTTCTCTCCAATGTAAAAAGAAAAGGAGAAAAGATGAACCGTGCAAGAAGAAACAAAACAGGCCTATTGTCATTCATATACATAACGTCGCAGACAGTACCATATCCAAAATCAGGACATGACATAAGACGTCTCAAAAATGTCTTCTTCTTCTTCTTATGCGTTTTTGCTCACTTTCCCTCCTCTGGAATTGAATCGGCCATTATTCAATTTTTTTTATTTCATCGCGATACGATATTACGACATAACCACAACGCGAAATAAAAAGCAAGTGCAAGGAAAAGTCGGAAGAACAAAATCTGATGAAGATCATGCGCTGCGCGTTTTGCGCCCCGACTAGAACCGTTCCTGGGAGCGGAGCTACATCTGCACCTCGGTGCATCGTGCATCCCTTCGTGCATCATCTGGTCCGTCTACGGTTCGTGTCAGGTGAAGGTGGTTTACGGCGACGAGGCACACTTCAGCACTGGACTCCACGAGACGAGAAGCAAGTTCTGTTATCGCTGATCTCTCTCTCCCATCATTAGGAAATGATCCCGAGCTGCCTTAGGAACGTCGCCGCGCCGTTGTCACGACGAAACGTAAGTGCACCGACGGGCGACGCGTGACCTCTAAACACGCGTCGTATCGCGTTTTCCGTGTCAGGGTCTCGCCACGAATCCCAGACCCCTGTTACTTGCGACACCGTATCTCATGAGTCTTCTTCTTTCCTCAATATCTCGCATACTCGCCAGTTTGGAAGCTGGAACGAGGTAATTATCACTCGCGATCCGGTTATGCTGCGGTTCGCGTTAATGCTGTCGCCTTGTATTTCATTTGCTTTGGATTTGATTGATGTTAACACGAAAGCTCAAAATTTTGAGCCTCTCTTACATCTACTTCCACCAATATAGATTAACTTTAATCTCGGTTTAATTTATTTTCTATCTTTTTCTAGTTTTGAAAATTTGAACAGAGATTAAAGTTAATCTACATCGGTAGAATGAACATTTAAAGAACACCATCACTGATTCACGAGATAAACGTAAAGATAAACTTCACATTGTCTCACGTGTGTACAGTTACATGTTACATTACGATTTCGCGTCACTACAGACACTTACTAGATGTTGATGTTTGTAGGTGGCCTCGTTTTTCTTGAGCAAGAAAAATAATTATGCTACCGAAGCCTCCTTCGAGACCAAGCCTTTTCGCCTGCACAAACTGGACCAGGGCCCATCCACTCAGGTGACGGTAACCCGGGATGACGCTATTGAACTATTTAAGAAGCTACATACGATACGTCGTATGGAAACGGCTGCCGGCAACTTGTACAAAGAGAAGATCGTTCGGGGTTTCTGTCACTTGTATTCCGGACAAGTAAATATCATCTCGCATGGTTTTTGATATTTATTTAGTTTGAGATTACTTCAATCTTCTTTGTTGCATTTTCTTTACAGGAAGCTTGCGCAGTCGGCATGAAAGCGGCGATGAGATCCCAGGACGCTGTAATCACGGCTTACCGCGCACACGGCTGGACTTATTTGATGGGCATAGACGTATTTGGCGTCTTTGCAGAACTCACGGGCAGACAAGGTGGCAACGCCAAAGGCAAGGGTGGTTCCATGCACATGTATTCTAAGAACTTCTATGGAGGAAACGGCATTGTTGGCGCTCAGGTTTTACATTAATCTTAAAATTTAATTTTAATATCGCCAATGTGTAAATTTTTCTTTAATATTTCAACGTGTTGTCGCTGCAATTAGGTGCCGCTAGGAGTTGGAATCGCCTTTGCACAAAAATACTTGAATAACGGTGGAGTTTGTCTAACATTGTACGGCGATGGCGCGGCCAATCAGGGACAGGTGTTCGAGGTGTACAATATGGCTAAGCTGTGGGACGTACCCTGCATCTTCGTCTGCGAGAATAACGGATACGGGATGGGTACTAGCGTGGAGCGTGCCGCGGCAAGCACGGAATATTACACCAGGGGCGACTATATTCCCGGAATATGGGTACGTTATCTCCTCTCCTAAGAGATTCGCGTTTTTATTTAGGTAAACGGGATTTACGATAGAAATTGTATCGTAGGTGGACGGGATGGATGTGTTAGCTGTGAGAGAAGCTACGAAATTCGCGATCGACCACTGCACGTCCGGTAAGGGACCGATCGTCATGGAGACTGTGACGTACAGGTACAGCGGACACAGTATGTCGGATCCCGGAACCAGCTATCGTACGCGAGAAGAGGTGCAGGAGGTTCGGCAGACTCGGGATCCTCTGACCAGCTTCAAGGAGAGAATTTTAAATGCCAACCTCGTTACTGCGGACGAGATCAAAGTCAGTTGACGTCTCTTTCGTTAGATTTCGCGATTAACGTTATTAGTAATTTATTGTTACCCGAAATGATTTGTGTGGATAACACGATCTCTTTTCTATTCTAGGTAATAGAGGGTGAGATCAGAAAATCGGTGGACGATGCCATGAAAGCTGCCAAGAATGACAAGGAGATTCCACTGAGCGAACTCACTGCCGACATTTATGCGAATTGCCTAGAGAAGGAGATTCGAAACACGACACCCTTCAATCCTTTATCGCACGCCAGACTAGGGCCAGCCATAAATGCTTAAAAACTGCTCAAAGATCGTTTTCCTAAAATATTGTATATTTTACAGTCACATGCCACATCCTCCAATTTTCATAGACCTACAGATTAGTTGTATAGAGATGTACGTACCGCACACGATTCTTTAATTCGAGGATGTATATTATTTCGTTGAAGGGGAGAACTGATATTGCCGAAACAGATTAATTCGAGTGCAACCATTGCGCACCGATATTAATCTCAATGCTCCACGACGCGCGCGCGTAACCCGTTTGTTCTTCGAGGAACTACCTGAATTGGTGCACACTAGTGCAATAAGTTACACTAGTTACGGTCGAACAATGGATCTGTTTTCTATTGCTGAACTAGGTCTTTTAGGCTGCACTAGTTCCGAGTTGTATCTTTTTCCTTCTAATGTGGGGTAAAAAAGATACAACTCTGAACTAGTGCAGCTAGTTCAGCAATAGAAAATAGATCCAAAATATACTTGTCTCACTCTAATTTATTGCACCAATTCAGAAAGTTCCTCCTAGGAAAAGAACAGACGGAACATTTTGCGTTACAATCCAATGCTAAAGAGAAGATCCATTTTTTGGATAATTTGGGAAATTAAAATTTATAGTTTAATTTATTTTGAGTACGAGTTATCATGAAAATAGGATCTTTTACGGTACAACGTGCGCCTAAGACCTGAGCTATTTGTTAATGTGTTAATAAAAAAAAATAAATCTAAAAAAAAATAAAAATTTCTTTTAATTTCCGTTATAAAAAAATAAGTCACTCAGTTGTGGCAGAGAGAAACCTGAGAGAGGCCATCCCGGTCTTTTTCGTGTGTTGCTGTGTTGCATTTTCCGACGCGCCGCCTGAGAAAGTGCAACTCAACTACGTCGTATCGCTCGGTAACCGCACATGGTTTGCGTCCGTGCTAATGGTTCGTGTCTGAACTAGCCAGCTGGAGGGGATATTATACTGGCCGCGGCGGCCGCGCGCTCGGCCGGCCCGGGAGTTGCATCTGATTGCACCTGTTGATGATATTTTTACCTTATTTTGTATTATATTCTTTTTTACCTTATTTTATATTATATTTTTTAAATATAGATAAATCGCGCAAAAATATCTGTTCCGCGTAAACAGCCACCGTCGCCTCGATATCCCTCACGTACTGACTGTTGCTACGTTTATGCGAGCGTTACTTCTGTAGTAACTTACGATACGTCCGTCGCGTAAACGGGATTTTGTAGTAACTTACGATACGTTAGGGCCAAAGCACATATGACAGTCGTAGTCGTGGACGTAAGTAACGCACAAGCTTTGGCGTATCCTGATCTGTCAGGTCGGGGTCTACGACCGTCGTATATCGCTACGCCATGTTATGTGCTTTGGCCCTTACTCTGCGTAAACGAATGATATAACGTAAGTTACTACAGAAGTAACGCTCGCGTAAACGTAGTATGAGGGAGTTACGTAATCGCCAGGCTAATGATCACTACGTGTTCGCGATATATGTATATAACACTCGCGTTTCGAGAGACAGCTACGTCGACCAGACACCACCGAGACAGAACGCAGAACGTAGAATACAGCCAGTTAAACCTGTGAAAGTTAACGAAAGATTCGGCATACGTTGTCTTTTATTGTTCGTTGAAAGTTTTCGGTATTTTTGAACCGGCCGCGGCCGCGCGCGTAGGCCGTGACGTCATGCGCCGCTCCGCGCCGCCGGCGCGGCGGATCGATACGGTGACGGTGATGTAGTAGGCAGTGTAGGCACCTGCGCAGTCCGTACTAGCGGCGTGACCGTTGAACTCGAAAGCTCCGTACCTCGAAGATCGGCGCGTTTTCAACGTTGTTTCTGGCGATGAGCGGACTTGTCACTTGTTTCCGTCAACGCTCGGAGTAGTGTTACCTGCGTGAGTGACTCAGTTATCATTCTTCCGAGGAATCTCGCACCGGTAGGAAGTGTTTGTGCTTCGCGCGCGCTCGTCACCGACATCACCGTGCTTCGTGCTGTTTTCGGAACGCGCTCGTTTCGGTGATTGGCATTCCTGCTTCCTCGTTTCGCGGGCCGCGGGAATACTGCCGTGTGTGTAAAACAATTTAGAGTGTATGAGGTGTTTATCGGAATGAACGTGTCGCGCGACGCGCTCACTCGAGACGTCGAGGCGGAGGTATGTATGAATGACTTGCTTTGCAGTTTCGCGCTGTGATATTCGCGAGTGACAGTCGCTCCTTCCGCCATGTCTGGATTCGCGAAGAACGCTGACGTGCCGGACGTGTCGTGTGATTTAGCTCCGATTCTCTCCGTAGGGAAAAAGGGCTGAGAGATATTGATCGTGTCAAGTGATTCCGGTGATTCGATCGGTGATAACGGAACGCCGCGATACATCGCCCGTTCGTGAATGCTTCATAATCTCGATTTACGAGTTTGGTAACGTATTGTGCGTGCGATATTTAATTTCAACAGCGTATCTCTGATTGACGAAGTGCGTGTCTTTATTAACTGTCCGCTCGACTTGCGTAGTATCGCGCCAAGTTGCCAACATCTCGGAACATTTCGTCGCCCATTATTACGTCGCCCATTAACAACGTAACGCCGGTAACGCGGTGATGAACGCGGAACGACGCGGAGCACGCGGCGTCGCGACTCCTTCAAATTTGCATGAAAAATTCATGTTACCCGCTTTTATATTACAGAGAAAAGTACTTTTCCTTCCCACGGGTACGACCTTGGCGAGGTGGGAAGGCTCCAGTACCCAGTACGAGGATTTTACCCAAGCAAAACTCTTGTTCTGCTTGGATAAAAATTCAAAGACGGGGAAGCTAACGTACCCTCGTCCGCCGATTTAATTGAATGAACGAACTGCAGCCGGTTCGTCGCGTTTGCTTCGGGAGTGCCGTTCAAGTAATCGGACTAAAGGACTTTTCTAAACGGGAGTGCCGTACAGTATCGCGCGAGAAAGACTTTTAATGAAATTAGTCCGCGCGCGATTGTAGTTTATTATCCGCGAGTGTTTCTCGCGAGTGTCCTGTGCGGTGAGACGATGAAGCCTAAGTATCCCCTGAGAGGAGGAGGAGGCCTGGGAGAGGCATCGGGCACCGACGGAGCAACCTTGGGGTGAGTATCATCTCTTTATATCTGCGTAAAATTAAAATAGTTCTTTTTTATTTATTCGAATTGTTTTATCTCGATAAATTAAAAATAATTAGAGAAAAAGATTATCTAAAATTTTACTCTTATAAAGATCGTTTTCGGTGAACACAGATGATTGTGTTGCTAAATATTTTATTGAAAAACAAATTAGTTGCGCGTAAAAATTATATTTTGAAAAATGTTGATTATTTTGAACGCTTCTTTAATTTGAATCTTATGTTTGTATGTTACAGTATCATCGTAGCTACGTGGCTGAACAACTCCGCCCGTTGCACATCAGCGTGGTGAGTCAGAATTTTTTTTATTGAAATGACAAATCTACGATTAGTCAGATATAGAGCCATTGTATCTCGGAACATATCGACGCTTATATATATAAATTAATTAAGTCAGGGTTTTAGGAAGTCGCGTCCGCGTCGCGTATACGTCTTCCCCGGGAACGCCGCCGCCGCGGTGCCGGGTGGAAGATCCGTCATGCCACGCGCCACGTCAAATCTGCACATACACATATATACGTAGGGACATGCGATTTCAATATGCAATATTGCGACATTTTAGAATACTCTGAACATATTAACTTCCGCAAATTTGGAGATGTCTATCTA